TACCCCCTCGGCCCTGTATGTGAACAGGGTCGAGGGGGTACGGCGTTCCGAAAATGCCGTACCCCCTCCGATTCGGGGTGTGGGTGGGAGCGGGGGTACGGGGTTCTCGAGACGCCGTACCCCCGCTCGTTTCGCCTCCCGGCTACCGAAGGGGGTACGGCGTTTTCAAAACGCCTTACCCCCTCGGCCCTGTATGTGAACAGGGTCGAGGGGGTACGGCGTTNGTTTCGCCTCCCGGCTACCGAAGGGGGTACGGCGTTTTCAAAACGCCTTACCCCCTCGGCCCTGTATGTGAACAGGGTCGAGGGGGTACGGCGTTTTGAAAACGCAGTACCCCCTCCGGTTTTCGGCGGTGGTTGGGAGCGGGGGTACGGCGTTCTCGAAATGCCGTACCCCCGCTCCTTTCGCCTCCCGGCAACCGATGGGGGTGCGGCGTTTTGAAAACGCCGTACCCCCTCGGCCCTGTACGTGAACAGGGTCGAGGGGGTACGGTGTTTCGAAAACGCCGTACCCCCTCCGTTTCTCGGTTGGGGTGGGAGCAGGGGTGCGGCGTTCTCGAAACGCGGTACCCCCACTCCCGCCCCCACCCGGCAACCGAAGGGGGAACGACGTTTTCAAAACGCCGTACCCCATCGCCCCTGTATGTGAGCAGGGTCGAGGGGGTGCGGCGTTTCGAAAACGTCGTACCCCCTACACTTCTCTGTGGGGGGTGGGAGCAGGGGTAAGACGTTCTCGAAACGCCGTGCCCCCTCCGACCTGTATGTGAACAGGGTCCAGGGGGTTCGGCGTTTCGGAAACGTCGTACCCCCTCCGGTTCTTGGTGGGGTTGGGAGCGGGGGTACGGCGGTCTCAAAACGTCGTGCCCCCTCCAATTCTCGGAGAGGATAGGGAGGTGGGCCGCATGGCGTTCCCAGAACGCCGTAGCCCGGCCCCGTAGGTGGACAGGGCCGACGGGTGCGGCGCTTCGAGATCGCTGTATCACCGCCCCCTCTCGTCTCCGATGACCGGACGGGGTGTGACGTTTTTGAAACGCCGTGCCCCCCTCGGCCTTGCTTCGCGGAACCAGACGGGGTAGGGCGTTTTCAGAACATCCTATGCCATACGACGCTCGAATGCGTCGGCGACTCACGTGAGGCGATGGTGGAAGGTTTGAAATCTGAATGCGATCCGTTCCTTCGTTTGGAATGTGCCCGCCATCAGGAGGAACATCTGCTGTCCCAGAGAAGAGAGTCTACAACACGTGCACAATCTATAGAGATAGGGAGTGGGCCCTTGATTGAGTGGGGGGGCTACACGAGGCGGGATGTGGGGCCGCTGTGTTTTTGAAGAACGCCTCGGGTGACGACTGGTTCTGTGTTGGAGGGATTATTAAATCCGAGGATGAGAGGGTGGACGGACACGGACGGAAGTTCAGGAGGTTTTTCCTCACAACGGTGTTCGACGAACAAGGAGTGGACCATGCGAAGGCCGACCGTAAAGTAAGCCTTGATTACAATCTGTTCAAGGGGTATGGCGGTAAGGCTATTACCGTGAAAGCCTTCGATGTGTCCCCGAAAGAAGACGGGAGTGTGTTGACGATGCTTGGCCCCGTTAAATTCCTCGCCAAAACGAACGAATACACGAGATCCGGAAACAGTCCCACGGTTGAGGCCGGCCATCGTATGTCCCCGATATTCATGCCTTTTGACACGCCGGACGAGGATCTTCCCGGTATAGCAATGACAGAGAAACAAAGGACGCCACATAGTTTTCCTACGCAGCAAACGTCAGCGAGTGGGGGCCAGTGCCGCAGCAAACAGAGCCAGCCGCGTCGTCCACCAGGCGAGGATGAGCATGGTCCTCCTGTGGGTTCGTCCAACCGGATGGAGTGTGTTGGACCGTCTCAACCGTCCAGGCGGCAAGACCAAGGCACCCCTGTCATCACATACAAAAGGAAGGCCCTGCCAACTCGTCCCTCTCCCAGTTGCCAGAAGGACGAAGGTGGTGCATCCAGGAAGGCGGYGCTGCGGGAGATAAGCGAAGGATCGGACGAGGAAACGGAGGACGATTCTAGGGTATGTGTTGATCGACATCCACAGGTTAATCATGTCGTCGACGATGACGAATGTGGTGTCGATGAGGACGACGTCGAAGAGGAGAACAGCGAGAGGGAGAAAGAGAGAGAGGATCGTGAGGAAACTATGCACGACAACGGAGGTGGGGAGTCTCAACAATACTATGAGGAGGACGACGGGGGCGATGGAGAAAACAATCATGCCTATCCTGTAGGTGATGACAATGGACGGCAAGAGCGGTCGGCTGATGTGGGGGTTGACGACGCAACAGGAGAGCGGTCGGAGATCAGTGTCCAGAAAAAGAAGGGACAATCTTCAACAAGTCCAACGACGGCGGCGGATAAGCGCACTGCGAAGAAACTCACTGTCGCTGCATCTCGACAGGCGCTCAAAGCTTCTCAAGAGGCGGTCGCTGAAAGCGTGAAGAAACGAGAAGGGTCCGCGTCGACAAGGGCGACAAAAGCAGAGAAATGTCCACCGAAAAGAAAGCAGATGGTGGATGAGGGTGACTCTGGAGAGGATGCCGAAGGGGTTCCTCCAAGAGATATGTTGGAACACACACAACCTTCCGCCGACACCCGTGATGAAGCCATCGACACAACACGGTGCTTCTTCTTGGAGTTCGATGAAGATGGGTTTGCAAAGAAGAAAAGGGAACACATTGAAGTGGACATCACGGAGATCTTGCCAATCCCTGAAGGTGACATCCTCTTCAACCATAGAACGTTGAACGAAACGTTGGTGCAGTCCATATATGATGCGATCCATCATGCGGCCAAGGAAACCAACGGGAAATGGGATTTCATGACTTTCATCCTGGCTCCCATTGTGCCCAACAGGGACGGGTCTCAAGGCAGACGGATCACACCGGAGCAATTTGACGTCGAACTGGCTCATACATACAACTGGTATGTTATCGCTGGCCAGCACACGGCCGAGGCAATAAACAGACTCATTAAAGACAAGTCACCGGCCGAGAAAGTGTATGGCTTGAGGTCATACTCTCACGTACGTGTTGTCTACTTTGACGATGACAAAAAGAGAGGATATCCGTACGTCTCGACGTTCGACAACACGAGGGAGGAGCGTTCGATCCCGAGATCGTTTTCGTCATCTGTGCGCCAAATCAGAACATTTTGGGATAAGAGGAATGACCGGATCCGTCCGCCAGGGACCGTGTCCCCGAATGACGTCGAGGGAATGAAACGAAAAAAAAAATGGGAAGAGTTCATGAACGCCGCCTGCAAAATGACACCTGATTCCGGTCTCTTGAACTCGTCCCTGAAGAACGACTACTGCAAGGACTGGACGAACAAGATGCGCGGATACATGAATCTTGTGCAATGCGGCGAAACAGTATGGCCACTAGTAGAGAAATTATTCGACATGTACGAGAAGGGGCTATTGTCGCGAGTCGACGGTGTGAGATACATCGACCTGCCGGGGAAAGTGGAAGGGAGACTGCCTGAGCAATACTTCCTTAAGGACAACTCCGGCAAAAAAGTCATGTTCCACTGCATCAAGGCATGGAAGGGGCCATCACGCGCAATGGTGTCTATACCTGACTTGACGCCGACAATCTTCAAGCTGTTCGACGATATGACAGCGAGAGAGAAGCAAGTGGCGCTTCACCACATGATGCGTGGTGATGTCATCGTGACATCACGTTCGGTACCTCGTGGTAGATGCAACATGGCGGACCTGGTTAAATATACTCGGCGTGAAAGATATATGGTCTGTATGTTCAACTACATATTGTTCAAGGCCGAGGGGAGGTCAAAAGAAAGAGTGGAGCGCTGAATTTTTCATCGGTTATACGACCATCTTTGAGAGGTACAGCAAAAACGGTCTGACGGACGAGAAATTGACCGAGGAACTCGACCGCATCCCTGAAGACAAGGCGAGGAAGGTGCTGAGGCGTTTGGGCGGTCCTGATAAGATTAATGGTGAGAACGGTGTGGAACTGGAGGCAAACAAAGGCATGTACAAGGAAATCCCGTTCCACCTCAAGTGTTTTATCTACGAGGCAATCGAATGCTTGGACGACCTGAGAGCGGAGGTTAATCGGATATCTTTCAGTGCTTGTCACATATTTTGGGAAGTGGGGAAGAGGATACCCACGATCCTGCCATTTGAAATCGAACCGAAGGGAGTGCTCACCGACAACGAGGAGGTTGTTGGTACGGCGAGGGGGATAAAGATACGGGCAACCATTCTTGATATGTCAACATCACCGAAATTTGTTCCGTGGGATGATGACGCCTTTTCCAAACTGTACGCTTTTCTCATGACATGCTGTGGCGAAAACTAGGCCTTAATAATTTTCGCGTCGATGAAACACCAGAAACAGGTGATGCAGAGTGTGTACAACTGGGATGATGTTGAGGTGCTCACAGGGTCATGGTATAGACACTCTACACCTTCGACAACCTTAAACAAGTACGGCAACATTGCAGTTCGGTACACTGACATGATGGCTATTGTCCTCCATGTCGAGAACGACGATTTGGACAATATAATGGTTGTGCCGAAATTGCGAGCCGAGTTGACAAATGTGAACGTTGAAGAGGGTGAATTTGTGAGGTGCTAAGGGGAGTGTATCGGCGTGGAGGGCGACACTGACGCGGTTTATTCTTGGATGGAACGAGAGCCAGCATGTCTCCGAAAACTGTGCAGCTCGTTCATCAGGGAGGACGATGGCGTGATGTTGTTGGGCAGGGCGCATGCGGGACTGATTTGGGAACTCGCACGCGCCGAACACCACGTGTTTGCGTGTGACGACACGACAAAAAAACTCACATACCTTTCCAAGTTTTGGGAGTTTTATGTGAAGGATCCGAGGAACCAATGGAGGTTCGAAAAGCCCCAAGTCGAGCACCGCAAGGACCGGGACATTTACTATAAGCTCGGCAGGAAGAGGGAGAAAGTGTGGGCTTACTTGTTCGGTGACGCTCCACGGTCGGCGGTTGATAACGAATACGTCATCAGGAAAAGTGAACTCGAGATAGCAATGAACGAGTACGATGGATCGCACATGGGTGTTTTCCACATGTTCGTCGCACGTTGTGAGCATTTGTATTTCAATATGAAGAAAAGAGCACTGTCATGCAGGGACTATGCGGACTTGGCACGTAAAGCGAGGAACTTCAACAACATCGATTGTGACGAAGACACGTCAGACTCCGACCTGGACGTTCCGTAGCGCGCAACACGACGTTCGGCGCAGGGAGCACGTGCCGAGGAGCCGCAAGGGAGCACCAACGCAGAAGTGGAGAAGGCGAGGTCGAGTTTGAGAGTGACACATGCTAGTAAGGGAGACGTGGAACATAGAATGAATGCAAGGGGAGAAAAGAATGGTGTACCAATGAACCCTGTGGGTGCGAGTGAGGGAATTGTTAACTCACAGGGCAACACAGGGGGAGGAGAGGATGGGTGTGAAATGACCCCGCCGACAGCTGGACCATCATCGACACATGCACCGCATGCCGAGCAGCGAACGCTCACGTCAATGGACACAGATGAAGATGAAGACATGGATATGACAAAAGTCATGCCGAAGCTCGTGCCAGGAAAACCGTTACCTCAAGGCTTTGCTCAAGACCCTTCAGTGTCATACTTGCTGCAAGACAAGTACAAGGAGTCATCGGATGAGGACTGGGGTCATCGTATTCTCTGGCATGAGGGCGTGTTCGAATCGTGCGTGTTTGCGGGCAAGTGGCAAATGGCTGTGAAGACAAGAGACCACGGGTGGGTCGCGAAGGAAAGAAAGGACGCTGCGATATGGCATAGCGTGACGGAGACGCAACTTTTTCGGAGGGTTGCACAAGAAAATGTCGGTGCAACCGAGGTGGCTATAGCGGCAAAGGCGAAAGCTTTGTTTGAGCAACTGCGTCCAAACAAACAACTAGAATTCAGCACAAAGTTCTACGACCTTGCATCAAGTGTGTCGTACGGCTCCATCGATTGGAAAATCAAACAAGCGTTACCTATGCAAGGAATCGATAGCATCACCTCTCTCAAGACTCAAGACGTCATTGCGTCTAACACCATCGTTGCGATGGCCAGAGGGGATGCAGGTTGCGAAACGGACACACGTGCGAACGCAGGTCACATACAGAATGAACAGTTGCGAACATGTATTCAACAAAGCACACATAGAAACGCAATGGGGGATTCCACTATGATACGCAAGGACGGTGACGACATGGAGTCGGGCACATTGACAGGGTCGCCAATGCGCGGGGTCAACGATGGGGCAACAATCGTTGGATCTTTCGGGTCCCTCGTCGCGACAGTGGCGGCAAGGCAAGGCGTATCTGAAATGATGGAGACCGATGCGGGCCAGGATGTTGAAAGCCAGACCGTGAAGGTGGCGCCAGAGCAGGTGGCGGCAACAACAAAGGAGACGAAGAAAGGTGAGGGATCTCGCGAACACATTTTCGTAATAGATATGAGATCGGAGAGTACGGGCGAGGATATGATCCAAGATAACGACCACAAAGATGACCACGCTGCACCACGAGTGGAAGGTGACGACGAACAGGACGCGCAACGACCGAGACGGTCAACGAGAGCAGTAATTAAGAAAACTGTGTTTGATGCGTAGGAAAGCCTTAGACGGGCATGGGCGTTTACACGTTTCAGGTTATATTGATGTTCGCCACAAATCATGATGCGATACACCGGTCCTCACATGGGGTGTCTACGCATTTCTTGTTAAATTGATAGGTTGCCGCTGGGTACTATGTTAAAAAACTATGTTAGATAGGAATGGGTGTAAACGCGCTTTGGGTTATATTGTTGTCTTAATGGAAGTGTTATTGTGACACTGCAATTCTCGAAACTGTAGTGCAGATAATAGAGGGTGCCCCATCTCGATACGTATGTGTGTGTGTGTGTGTGTGTGTGTGTGTGTGTGTGTGTGTGTGTGTGTGTGTGTGTGTGTGTG